CTTTGCAGCAGAGGCCTGAGGACAGCTGCAGGGAGGATGTCAGCCCTCTCTTTTTAAGTCAGTATGAGATGGGTGTCAGTCAATTGCAAAGTAGAGAGTCTTTTCATACTCCTTGACCTGTAAGGCAAGGACATAAGGGGCCATGTAGCTTTCACTTCAGCCTCTGGAGCATCTGCTCCTGGAAACCTGAGTCAACACTAAGGGGTCTGATGCCCTGAGGCTGCCACTATGGAAGGGCCGCTCGTAGTGCTTCAGGCAGTGGTCCAGCTGAGCCTGGCTGTCCTGGTAACTGTGCAAAGGCACCAGACACATGACTAAAGTCATCACCCCCCCCAGACCAACAGGTCTACCAGCAAAGTACCACCAAGAGATCTCCGTCACCACTATATGGAACAAAAGAATGACCCAACCATACCAAAGTTTTGACCCACAAAATCATGAGATAATAAAATTATTATTTTTACATCACTGGATTTTGGGGTAATTTGTTACATAGCAACAGTTAACAGTAACAGGAAGACAGAAGGTGTGACTTAGGCTGGGCTATGGCAGATGCAGTTTTTACTGGGGCCTGAGACTTGAAGAAAAAGAAGTCACTTGACCACATACACAAAGTGCAAGACCTTGAAAGGGACCGGTAAGGAGGACAGGTCCTGAACGTTAAGCTCCATTGGTGTCACTGGGCCTTGGGAGGGGTGAGAACGGTCCTCAATGTGGAGGAAAAGGAAAGGGTTTTGCAGGCAGAGGGACCTGCATGGGCAAAGAAGCAGGAAAGTGCATCGTCTGTTAGGTGACTCTGAGGAGCTCAGTGTGGCTGGAAGGCAGGAGCATAGGGAGGTGGGGGGGACAAGTGGGAGAGGGAAGAAAAGCCACTAAACCTAAATCTTCAGAAGTAGAGGGAGTGGACAGGTTGAAAGGGCCCTACCTGTATGGGGGGGCAAGGGGATGGGAGAGGGGACCCTGAAGTTTAAGCCTCACTTCACAGCTGCCCAGAGTCCTGCCCCAGGACAGTGACCTTTACAAGGTGCCAAACTTTAAGAGAATGATTGTAAGAGACTAGCCTTCTTGGCATGAACAGAAATGGTGCAAGACTGAATTCCAATGTCTGGTATCTCAGCACATGTGCACACCTGTGTGCATGCACGGGCACACACACACACACACACACACACACACACACACACACCCTGTAGCCTCCACTAAGGGAGTCTTGTGTCCTATGTGCTGGCAGAGGAAATATTGGGCCACCCCATTCCTCCCAAGGCCCTGCAGCCACCCACATGCTGACTCCTTCTCCTATTTGGTGCCCACACCCAGAGGCCCAGTAAGTCCCTCAAACTCTGCATGTTGAACATTGAACTTCTTTCCCCACCCTCCAATCTTGCACCTGCTCCAGTGGCCCACAGCTCTAAGTGTTGCCAGCAATGAGTCGCCCAGCCCAGGCACCTGAGATTCAGCAGTGAGTCCTCCTCCCGGCTTCCCCCCAACGTTGGATCAATGATGGAGAGTCTGGCTCCCAGCAGTTCTTGAAGCCAACCTCTTCTTTCCATGGACCATCTTTTGGTGCTGCCATCTCTCATGGCTCCTCCTCAGAGGGGTTCAGCCACACCCCTAACAATCTCTCCAATCCAAATGTGCACATCAGTCACCAGGCAATGCTCTCTGAGGCTCCTTCACTCTGAAGCCCAGGCCCCTTACCCTGGTGCTCCAGCTCTCCATGACCTGACCTCTGACTTCTGCCCCACATCATAACCTGCCCCTCTCCACCCACGGCTCCACAGGCGCCCTTTACCCCCTCACCAACTCCCTGCCCTGGGTCACGTGCTGCCCCTCACCCCTGGGACTCCGGTACAGCCTCACCTTCTCTCAGAAGCACCTCCAGAACCTACTGTCTCCATCTGATGACCCTTCTCTGTGGCCCCTCGCTCTGGGCAGGGCATCACCCATAACTTGTGACATTTTAGAGGATTTATAAGCAGAACTTGCTCCACCCACTCAATCCCTCTAAGGTGTTTATACTCCTCTGTGAAATGGGACAATAGCCACACCAACAGACCTGAGAGTGAACACCTAGTAAGCAGGCAATGAGCTAATAGCTTTTTGCACATTATCTGACTTAATCCTCACAGCACCCAAAGAGGCAGGCACTACTATTATCCCCTTGAACTGAGGAGGACACAGAGGTGAAGCACCCTGCCTAGCTTCCCTTTCCATGGGTAGACCTCCACAACCCTTGAGGCACAGTCAGTGTGCACCCTCCTTGGCTGTTCAGTGGCCTCCGCAGCCCTGCCACCCTGGGAATCTGGAGAGGGCAGAAATGATGCCTGTTTTGCACACTTGTGTATCCCAAGCTCCTAGAACTGGGTCTGGCTCACAGTAAGTACTTAGTAAATATTTGCTGACTGAAGTAATCCATGAATGAATAAACCCAGCCAGCGATATAACCTGGGTTCCCTGAGCAGGATGCTGGGTATAGAATGTGTTTAGTACAGAACCTGGCACCCAGTAGGCACTCAATAGTGCACAGCTGCTGCTCTTGTCATGAAGAGAAGGAGGAGGAAGAGAAAGTTATTTAAACATAAATACCACCGGGTGAGTCTGTCTCCCCAACAGCTGGAGCCCCCCTCACGATTCAGGCCCAGGTCCTCCCAGTGCCCGGGCCAGGCCGGGTCCAGCAGGCAGGGGACAGTTCGGGAATACATGTGGGTGGTAGACACCCCATCCCACCTTCTCCCCGCAGAAAAGGGGCGATGTTCCTGCCTCTGTCCTCACCATCGGGGTGCCAGCATCTTCCGTTTCAGGCCCCTCCCACCCACCTCAGGGCTCCCGGAACCAGAGGTGTCTACTGATCATCTGTCCCCTACACACACATGCGCGAGCACACACACACACACACACACTCCACACTGCCGCCTAGCAACCTGACATGAGCCTCTTGGGTTCTGATTCTGGCTCCTCGGCGGAGCCTGATGGTGTGACTCTGGGCGGGTCACTGTTGTTCTCTGAGTTTTGGGCTTCCCCACTACACAGTTGGCCCTGGGGTCAGGGGCCTGGTGGGTGCAGGACTTTGCCAGGCATCAAGGCTGTGACTGACCTCCTTGGGCTTCCAGTGCACTCAGCCAAGGCGACACCCTGGGTAAGGTCGAAGGAACCCAGGAATCCCACTACTCTACACCCTCGAATTTCCACCACTGGAATCACTCTGACCTCTACCCCAGGACTCTGGCAGTCGGGGGCTGAGACCACAGCCTCTCTGGGCTCCAGGGGCCCCGCTGCCTCCTGCTCCGGGCCACATGAGCACATGGGAGGGGGGTTTTGCAGAGTCCCCGCTATCCCAGCAGAAAGCTCTTCCTGAGAGGAGGAGGAGGACTGGGCCCACTGGAACAGTGGAGAGGAGAAGAGACCCAGAATACCTGAATGGTTGGTCAGATGTCCCTAAACCACTGTGGACCTCAGTTTTCCTCCTCTGTGAAATGGAGCCGATAATAAACAACTCACTGGATTCTTTTCAGGTTTGCTGTGAGAACGAACTAAAATACAAAATCTATGAAGCTCCAGATACTTTTGAGAGTGGGTAACACGGGCCCACACACCGTGCCCTGCGGATCTGGCTTGAGCACCAGCAGGAACCCAGGAGCTCCAAGGAGACCCAGTGTAGGTCCCTCCTGAAACCAAGAAACCCAAACCCGTCTTAGCTTCGCTGTGGGCGGGAGGAGGGCAGAGGCTGGGAAGCGGGCGGCTGGAACCCGGGCTGAGAGGGGACGGCTGGCCTCCGGAGACCTGGAGGGGGCGGAGGGCGAAGGAGGCTGGAGAGGGCGGCGTAGCAACGAAGGGTAAGAAAGTTCACACTTCCAGGCGCTCCCGCGCTTTTCCCGCCTGCCCCTCCCCTCTGAGTGACTGTCCCCGTTCCTTCCTCCTCTCCCTCCGCTCTCCGCCCTTTCTTCTCTGCCCGCCGCTCCTGTCCCCGTCTTTCTCCCCTCGCTCCTTCTCCCCCCACTCCCATCCACTCCTCACCCTCGCACTTTATAACCAAACAGCCAAACCCCTTTCCAATTAAAGTGGAATTAGGCAACTCAATCAAATTAGCTCCCTATTAAAGCCCTTCTTTATTAAACCGTTTTCTTGTCCTGCTATTAAGTTTCACCGCCTGGCGGAACTCGAGCCGGCCCCAGAAGTTTACCTTAGGATGTCGCCGGGGCCGGCCTGGGGGGAGCGGGGAGGCGCCCTGTTTCCCAGAGAGGGGGGGGGGGCGCCCGGTCCGGAGCAGACGGACGGACGGCAGGAGCAGGCGGCCGGCCCGGAGCTCCGCTCGAGCAGGGAAGGGAAAAGGCGCGCGGAGTGAGGTCTGGCTGGAAGGAGCGTCCGCACCTCCACTCTCGGGTGACACCGCCCCGGGCGGGAGCAGCACCCCACTGCTGAAATAAAACCCCCACTAGCACCCAAAAATAACTGTGGGAGATCGTCTTCCCGTGGGGCCTTCCTCCCTGCATCTGCCGCCTCCGTCGGCCCTGGTCCCAAATCTCTCCGAGAAGGGAGGCGCGTGGTGTACGGCCCGGGTGGGCCGCGCTCCCATCGGCTCCCGGGGGCGGGGGGGCGGCGGGGGGGACCCTCAGGCGGCTGGCGACCCTTCTCCCCGGCAGAGACGGGGCAGAGACGGCGCCAGGGCCGGGCGCGGGCCGGGCTCCACGCGCAAGGCGACCCCGCCAGAGCGCGGGCGCCCAAGCCCGGGGTGGTGGGGACACCGGTCCCCGCGGCAGCGCAGCGGGCGCCGCTGCTCCGGGAGTCCCAGCCTCGGGGCCCCGCCGAGGCGCCCTAGAAAGCGTCCTCGCCCCGAGACCCCCGAGGGTCACAGCACCAGCCGGACCTCGGTCAAGGTTCTCCCTGGCACCGCGGCTCCAGCAGGAGGAAATCAAGACTTTTTCAGTCCCGCTTGCTGCCCCAGGAGCGGGACGGGATTCGGTGTCGTTTTCTTAGAAAATAACATTTATTTCTAGCTCCTGTCTATGCAAAGGAAAACACAAAGTGAGCCGTTCTCTGCGGCAGCGGTTCCCGCTGTCCGCGCTCCCGCGGGAGCGTCTGGCGAGTCCCGGGAGGAGGGGACGGCCCCAGGCGGGCGGGTCCGGCCCAGTCGCGCGTCGCTCCGTCCCGGCTTCTTGCGCACCTCGACCGCCCGGTAGAGACACACCGGCCCAGGCTGGCGGGGCGGGTGGGCAGGATTTGTCCCCAGTTTACAATATATTTTGTCTATAAAAACCTGATGAGTACAATGCGCGCATAGTCTAATTTTTCCATTTTTCCTTTTTTTGCTTGTTTTTGAATTTTTTCACGTTAATACCGAGGTCACCTACAGATTACAATTAATAACTTAGAATTCCATTTTATAACATTATACACTGGCCTGTATATATATGTATAGAGTATATATAGATTTATACATGTATAAAACACTGCACCAAGGAAACCCATGCTGATCGGCTTAAGCAACAAAGAGAGAGCGACAAATACCGCAACGAGGAAAGTGCACTGTGGAACTTGTCTTTTTTTACAACTTATGTCGACATACATGTGTGTCCCAAAGACTCGACTCAGTGCCAAGAGATTTATACATCCTAGATTTATATTTGTTAGAGCAAATATTTAAAATTCTTTAAAGGGAGGGGAGACAGAAGACAGACTCTCAGGCTATGCCGCCATCCACTTGAGCTCTGGGGAGGGCGGGGTGGGCGCTGCTCCACGGAGAGGCAGGAGGGTGTGCTTCCTTCCGAGGGAGCCTCTGCTCTCGGAGGGACGGCGGAGCCTCGGGGAGGGCTCGGGGGCTGGGAGCCGGACCGCGCCCCTCCTCCGAGAGCTTCTACCCCGACCGTAGCTGCTCCCTTTCGCTCAGCTTTCCCCACCCACCCTTCAAAACAAAACTGAAAACCACCGTGGAGCGAGAGGACCCTAGTCGGCGTGCACAGAGCGCACCGGACGAAAAGGGGCCGGTGGCCCGCGGGGACGAGCCTGGTCCCACTTTGGGACCAGTTTGGGACCCCCGCCCTACTGCTTCTCAGGCGCCCCGTTGACCATCGGCCCGTACAGGCCGCCGCCGTAGGACGGCTCCTTGTGCACCGCAGCGGCGGCCGCCGAGCGATCGCGCATGAGGTCGCTGAAGGCGTAGTCCACGGGCGGGCGGAAGCCGAGGGTGGGCACCAGGCCGGCGGTGGAGTACGGCGCCATGAAGGCCAGGCCGCGGCTGTGCGCCGCCGCCGCCGAGTAGGCCAGGCGCAGGGGGCTGAGGCCGAGCGGCGCGCCCAGCGGGTAGGCGCCCGCGTCGGCGCCGAAGTGACTGGCGTTGGGCTGCAGAGGCGAGAAGGCCGAGCGGCTGCTCAGCGAGCCCAGCGTCCCGGGAGCCATGGCGCCGGCCAGCAAAGGTCTGTGGTGCGGCGGCGCGGTGGGGCCGGCCTGCAGGGGCGCGGGCAGCCCGGGGCCCCCGGCGGCGGCGGCGTCGACGCGGCCCGGCCACCCGTCGTCCACGGCCGCTACGGCACCCGCAGCGACCTTGTCGGAGGGCGCGGCGGGGCCCAGGCCGGCCGCCAGGCCCCCGCGGTGGTGGTTCAGCACCTGCTCGATGGCCTGCACCACGTCGCCCCCGCAGCCCTGCAGCACCAGCTCCAGGACGCCTCGCCGGTGGCCCGGGAAGACGCGCGTCAGGATGTCCAGCGGCGTCCGCTGCCGTGGACCCGGGCCGCCGCCCAGCCCTGGCGCTGGCGCGGCCTCTGCCTCTTCTCTGTCGGCCTCCGAACCGGATTCAGAGCCCAGAGGGCTGGCGGAGCCCGGGCTGTCCTCCTCGCCGCCGCCTTCGGGGCCAGCGCTGCCCGGGCAGCTGCCACCTGCCTCCTTGGAGGCCCGGGTCAGAGGCGACCCTGAAAAGGACTCGCCATCGCCGTTCTCGGAACCCGAGCCCGGCCGCACCTCCGGGGACGACGTCCCGGGGCCCGAGTCCGCACCGTCGGGTGATAAGGGCTTCCCGGGGGGCAGCGGCGGGCTGCCCGGACGGCCTGCTTGAAGCAGCGCCTTGGGGAACAGGTCGAACTTCTGTAACTTGGCCTCTGGGAGCGGAGAAAATAGAACGTGAGGAACAGTTAGGAGTGGGGAGGCCACCACACTCACAGCACCCCAGCCATGTGCATCTCAGGTTCGCTTCCCAATGAGCCCCACGGCCTTCATTCAGGCCTCCTCATTCTTGCGGCCCCGCCATTCCTTCCTCTGAGTCCCTCCGGCCCGCTCTTCCCCCCGCCCCCAGGGAGCGCTCTCTCTCTGTACCCAGAGCCCCAGCCACCCGTGCCCTGCACACTCGACGTTCAGTGCCCTCCTCCCTACGTCTGTGCCTCAGCAACCCCACCCTAATATCCCCTCCTGGCCCTGCCCTGCCCTGGAAACGTGAACTGGCCCTGGGTTCAAGCAGGAGCCAACACAACCTCCACCTACACCGCACTCTGTATAGAAGAGACCACTGCGCTTCTGTGATTCCAAGGGCCAACACAGGCCTGGGTGCGCTCTGGCCCCGGGCAGCCTGTGAAGGAAGACGCCTTGGGCATCCAGTAGATCCCAAACCTCTCTACAGGCAAAAATTAAGCCCCTATTTCTAAGCCACCCTTTCCAAAATTAAGACCTAAAAAGTTCTTGCCTCCCAAGCTGAGAGGGCCCCAATGGCGGCCGCCTGATTTCCTCCCTCTCGTGAAAAAGCCAGGGGGTGTGAAGAAGAGGGTGGGGCCAGGCGGGAAGTAGCGGGGTACGAGCGCCGGGCGCGCGGAGGGAAGTGCGAGAGCTCGTACTCTGAGAAACCGGGCACAAGGGGGAAAGAAGCTAGAAAGGACCGGGGCGCAACCTGCAGTTGTCAGGAGCATTAGGAACACGATTGAAGGAATCACAAATGGAAAAGGAACGCTATGTCTCCAAAACCTAGTGAACGAGGTGCGGGAGGGGCAGGAGGCTTGGAGAGGGCCGGATTCTGGAAGAGAGGTGGGAAGTAGCGGGGAAACTGCGGCATTTAGAGAAGCACGGAACGAAAGAAAAGAGAAGACGCGCGGGTTTCTGCGCCAGGGAGAAGACCCAGCGAAGTGAGCAGGAAAGTGGGGACCTGTCTGTGTAGAGGAGATAAGACTAAAGCATTCACAACTGAGCCCGCAGTGAAAGAAAGGAGTGAAGTGCACACGTTTTAGAAAGAGGAGAGAGTTGGTGTTTATGTTCCAGATCAAGGGCTGGGCGCGCGGTAAACCCTAGCGGTCCGGACGTTTGGAGAAGCGGATTCTCCTCTTGAGTACTGAGTCAAGTCTCTGGGCCGTGCGCCTGGGCCCTGTCCCTGTTCCCCTCACCTCCCAGGCCGGCCTCTCTCTCACCTGAACTTCCGGCGCCCGCTGTGCCGCCTCCGGTCCCCGCAGGTGCCGCGGCTCCTGTCCCCCCGCCGTCGGTGGCGCACACGGAGCCGAACACCTCGTAGGCGGGTCGTGGCGGGATGATGCCGTTGGCGGCGGCCAGCGCCAGGCCCTCTGCGGTACCGTAGAGCAGCTGTAGCTCGCGCGCCTCGTTCTCTTCCTGCGCCTGCTGCCTGCGCAGCGCCACCTGCGCCGCCATGACGCGCTGGCGCTCGGCGATGAGCGTGCACTTGGCGCACAGACAGTCCTTCCAGCGGCAGTAGCGCTTGTGGCCCTTGAGCGCCGACACCACGCCGTGGTTGCGGCAGCGCGCGCACTTGGGGGTCCGCGGATACTTCTCCGCCGCCCGCAACAACAGCGGCGGCGCCCGTAGCAAACCGCCCGCCACGCTCACGGGCAGCGAGGCGGCCGCCGCCGCCGCCGCTGCCACGGACGCCACAGATGCCACCGGCGGCCCCGTCGCTGTCGTCGCCGCCGTCGCCGCGCCTGGCACGCTCGGCAACTCGGAGCGCAGCTCCATGTCAGCACCTGGCGTGGGATACCGTGGGGAGGGAGGAGAGACTTGCGGTGAGGCGTGTGCTGCGCGCGGAGCTAAAGGACCCACTCGAGGAACCCGGGCTTAGAGAGGGACATTTCGGCCGCGCGGGTTTGACTGCTGGTTGTCAAATTGCTGGGAGGAGGTGTCTTGGAGCCCGCCTCCTCAGGCCGAGCTCCCCCACCCCACTCCCACCAGAGGCTTCTTGTGTCTCATTTCTGCGCTGGGTGTAAGATTTCGTTTGAATCAGAGATTCTGCTGGACAAAATAAAAACATAACTTTTGAAAGTCACTGGTTCAGATGGATGTAAGGAGAGTTTAGAAAAGAAAATAGTATCACCCAAAGTTTAGCTTCATCAGTTTGAGACCGGATAGAGAGAAATGTTTGTTTGATAGGACTTGTATGTGAGAGAGAACATTTGGACTCAGCAGAGACTGGTGCCGAGACAAAACGGGGACATCCGGGCTGGAATGTCCAGTTTTGTGGACGGGTGAAGAGAAGGAGAGTTTAGCTGGTTGGGCTGGAGGGTTGTGTGTGTGTGTGTGTGTGTGTGTGTGTGTGTGTGTGTGTGTGTGTGTTTAGCTGGTGGGAGCCAGAAAGTTCGAGAGAAAAGTCAGGAACAGAAAGAGTAGCTCTAGGAAGTGGAGCGAGGGTCAGGAAACGACTCAGGGGCGAAGTTAGGCCCTGGGGCCCAGGGGCGCGTGGAAATGTGGGAACCGAAAGTTCCGTGGTGCAGAACTCCACAGAGTGGGGAAGAGAGTTTGTGTAGAGCCGAGTTTGGGAAGCCTAGGGAGGAGGATTAAAGAGAAAATTCAGCCGAAGAAACTTCGGGTAGGCGACCCCAGCTCAAGATTAGCTAGCTTGAGAACGGTGGAAAACAGCTGACTGGGGTGCCTGGGCCCCGGGGTTCACGCGGAAGAGAGGGGTGTGCTTGAGGGAAAAAAAAATCCCGCAGCCATAAGCTGGGATGGGGACGGAGTAAAACCCGTGGGACAGTCACAGTCTGGAGGAGCGGCCAGGGAGGGGAAAGTATCCTGCAAAAGTCAGGTGTTGCAGGAGGGAGATTCCGAGCCCCTCATACTGCCTTCTTCCTCCCATCCCTGTTTAGGCGCCTAGGCGTCAGAAACGCCCTCCCCATCCTGAGGCCTCCCGGGACCCCTCTGGGGCGCAGATTCCTGCTTTCTGGTCTCAGAGTTGGGTTCCTGGGACTTGGGTGGCTCAGCAGGCAGCACCAAGGCAGGCGAATGGCCTCTGGAACTGGCTCTGAGCGAACGCAGGAATCCCACCTGCGCCGCGGCCCCAGAAGGCCCATGCAGGCCCAGCCCCGAGCTTCCTACGCGGCTTCCTCTGGGTCCTTCGGTGTCTCGGCCCACGGTCCTGGACCCCTCCCCTCTCTACGCGCGCTGCCTCTTCCTTCAGGCCCCTCGGGCCGCACAGTCCCTAAGGCCAGCGTGGCCCGAGCTACGTCTACGGGGGCCGCAGGCCAGGCTGCCTCCCCTGCCCTCCCTGCGGCCCTCAACTACCTGCCTCGGGCTCGGGGATCCTCCTCCGGCTGGCGCTGCGCGCGCCTCCCAGCTCCGCCGGCGATGCTGGCGCTCTTAGCCTCTTCTCTTTGCCCCCGGGCCCCTTATCTGACCACGTCACCCTCCTTCAGTCACCATGTCCGAACTGGCGGACCCCTTCAGAACGCTGCGCAGTCCAACCCTTCCGTCGGAAATCTGAGCCGGGGGGCCGTTTAGGGACCCACCGGCTGGAACCCAGGACCGGCCCTAGCTGCGCCGCATCCCCTCGCGGAGCGCGCCGGACGCTGCGCACAGCCGGGCCCCAGTTGCCCGGCGCTGCCAGACTCTCAATGAGCCGCTCGCCTGCTCTATTGTTGCTCCTTAGGGCTCCATTAGACAGAATTGGACAACAATGTGGCGCCTGCCATTGGCCAGGGGAGGCAGACGGCACTCTGATTGGCCGGACCCGCGCCCGGGGAGCCCCGTGTTCTGCAGTGTCCGAAAGATTCGAAACTCCAAAGGCTCCGCCGAGTGTCTCTGGGAGGGGAGGGGGCGCACCAGGGAAGAAGTGGGAAAAAGTGGGCAAGAAGGAGCGTTGAAAGTATCGTGACAAGTAGTTTCCGTGCGCTGGAGAGCGTGTGAATTGCGCCTAATTACCGTGTCCGGTGGCGTCTCTGCGCAGACCTGTGTAACCCTTCAGCTTCGGGGCGCGGGCTCTGCCGCGTCGCTCCCACTGGCTGGGGGCGCTTGGCAAGGCCGACTTTCTCAAGTGTCCCTGGCGGCCCGGGGCGAGATGGGGGCAGGTGACAATTCAATTACCGCGGTCGGGGTGGGGGTGAGACGGGGGCGGGGAAGGGAGGGTGTACGCCGCACTGCCGACAAGATTTCCCAGCTTCCTTCCGGCTCTGTGCGGCGTGCTCTCGAGTCTTGTGCGTTTGGGGTGGTCAGGAGCTTGTTTTGTTTTTCTCCTGCTGTCTTTAAAAGGTAAGTTATTTTAAAAGTCCTGATACGATAATGGATCATGGAGGGTAAGTGTGGCTACTAGGGATTTTTGCTTTTGAAGGGGAGCCGGGAGAAAAGGACTGAGATTGCGCTTCCTGTCCGCGCCCGCCGCGTTCCAGGCGCACCGTGCGTCCTTCCCCTCTCCACCCTCCCTCACCCCGTCCCTCCGCCCCTCCTGCTCTTTCCTTTGCTCGCTTCTGCAACCTTTCGATTTCTTTTCACATGATGGTGGGATTATTTTGTCGTTGTTGTTTTAAATTAACAATTTAATTTTTAAAAACAAAAATAAAAGTGACCTCCCCGTCTCCCCAGATCCTCTCGGAAGCAGGACGCGCAAGCGTCTGTCTGTCCATCCGGCCAGAGACAAGGTCGCCGCAACCTCAAGAGCAGTTTCAACTTTCGCCTGACTCTGGCGTCCTGACGTCACGGCCCTGACACACAGCTAGGTCTGCAGAGAAGGTAATAGGTTTCAGATTTTGTTTACCTTTTGAATGGCAACGTCTGGAATTAATGCCGCTGTCCTCGGGCGAGATCGCCTGGGGTTTCTCTATCTGGGGTTCTCTGTGCATTTCCTGTCTATTTTCCTCCTTGTAATAGTCTCCCACTCTCGTTTTTTATTACCCACTTTTCTCTCTCGTTCAGAGTAAAGAAAATTCGTTTAACAAGAAAAACGCGTTTTCCCATATTCTCCCTCGAATCCAGATCAAGCGTTTCCGCTCCGTTCTTTCGAACTTCCAGGCCCACTGGGTTCTGGCCCGAGCTATCGGAGGTTTGGACGTGCAGGCTCGGCCCAGGAACCTCAGGACGCAGCCAGGTTCACCTGGCAGGACAACCGCATCGCACCCTGCCAGCCCAGCTGCCTCTGACGCCTGAGGCTGAGGATCCAGAGGAAGGCTCTGGGAGCCAGTCCGCGCAGAAGACCCCAGAACCTCGCGCGGGTTCCTTCGGGAAACCGAACCCAGGACCAAACTAGGGGAGGGAGGAGAGGAAGAGTGTGGCGTGCGTTGAGTGTGGCGGAGAGCTTCCAGAAGTCGATCAGGTCCGGGAGGGCGCACTCCGACCCAAACAGTCTGTGACGGCGATAGAAACCAGGTTATTTGCTCCTGTCATATTCCACTCGCTGGAGCCTGCAAATGTGTCCGGGAGCAAAAGGAGTCAGGTCCCTAGGGCCTCCCGCGTGGAGTGAGGGTAAGGGAGTGAGTCCGGGATGACATGTTCTTCAGGAGCATAGGAGCCAGACCCCACCTCCAACACCTTGAGGTTATGAGGTCCAGGAAATCACTGCGTTAAGTGCACTCTGGTGGGTGGGGGGCTGGGGGTGGGAAGAGAGGACCGCAGCCAGATCCTTCAAGGGGACAGCCAGGTGCCTCCTTCCAGAGCGCCCTTGGATTAAATTTTACAGAAATTATTTTAAATCTCAAATGAGATGAACTACAGAATCAGCCTAGCTTTCCCGGGCAATGGTCCAGACGGCCTTCTTCCTTCTTGAAACCAAGCCACTGTGAGATTCCCTCACTCGGGTGTGAGTGAGCCTGCAGCAGCCAAGGGTCCAGCCGAAGGTTCCGACTGTGGAACCCAGAGCTCTCCTGTTGGTGTGTAAGGAACCTCGTTTTCTCAGGAGGGGGGGGAGGACACATCTGGGAGACCAGCCCAACCGGAGAAATCTGCCCACCCCTACAGCAGGCACCTCTCCATCCACTTTCCTCCTGTCCATAGTCCAACAGGTCGGAGGCCCCACACAGCCTTTCTTCTGGTGCGAGGCTGGGGTGCACAAGTGAGCGAGTGTTCCTGGAGGGCAGTGGAGCAATGTGCTGGAGCAGGGTCACTGCACCCACACCTCCGCGGGCCACTCTGGGCCCAGTCCTGATTTGGACTCAGGTCAGGAGGAGAGGAGCTGACTGAAAGGGGTGGCCCTACTGAGTCACCAGCGGTGAGGAGGGCATGCCCAGACTGAGGCAGCAAAGGCTACCCCTCTACTCACAGCAGAGTGTGGCTTCACACCTAGACACACCACTTGCACATGTGACCTCATTCTGCAAAGTCTTGGACACATCCTCATACCCGCATGCAATTACCACCCAGGGTTGCACTCACTTCAGAGGCTGCCCTCCCACCCAAGGGTACCCCTTCAGAAAGTTCCTTTGACTTCACAGCACTTTCATAAGCATGTCCACATCCTTGGGACCTCCACTTGGTGTGTGACCTCTCACCCAGCGCCCACACACTTCCACCTGAGACTGAACACCCTGACAGGAGCCTGTACTCACACACGTGCGCCCTCGCTCCTCCACCGACCTAGCCCTACTCCAGGGCCCTGCCGGTCGCTGGACTCCGAGCTGAGAAAGCCAGCCCTCCCGGACAAACGAGGCAGCTGCGGGCAGAAGGCCCATCCTTACAGAGTCTCACACACACAAACTCACTCACACATGTCCTCTTAGCTCGGGATCATTTGCTGACACCTTTGCTCTGCCAGGGCCTGGGGCCCCAGATGAGCGCTCCCAGGCACGAAAATCCACCTCCACCCTTGTTCGTTACTGGCCCCACCCCCACGCATCCCTTCCCCTGGGCAATGGTGGGAACCCCAGGGGAGGCCCTGCTGGGGACCCGGGGTGAGGCTGGGGGTGGGGGTTGAGGGGGCGGGGAGAAGGCTGGAGGCTCCGCGCAGTGGCGCTGAGTAGGAGCGAGGCCCCGGGCGCTCGCTGATGGGGGACCCGGGAGGCACTGACTTTTGCGCTGTTTGTCCGCGGCCTCGGAGCAAGCAGACGCCATCTGTTTGCCGGCTGCGGCGCGTCCTGTTTAATTATCCTCCCGGCAGCCTAATAGAGATGATATTAAACTAAATCTTTCTGACATTAAAAGTAATTATCCCCAAACCAGTGGCTCCGGGACGAAATTGCCCCTCCCGTCCTCGCCCCTCCCCGGGCCCCGCCAGATTCCGTCAGTTTGGCTGAAACTCTTCACCGAGAAGAGGCGCAGATAAAGGAGGGCAGGGCCCTTTGGGAGAAGAAGCCTCCGCAGGGCACCGCTTGCCCTGTCCCCGGCACAGCCACAGACGCTCTTGGACGCACGGACACGCGTGCGGATGTGCACACACCTGCACACTCAGACTCGCGCAACAACGTTTTCCTTCAAATCTACTCTCGGGCACTCCGGGGCGGACAGGTTGAAGCGCAGCCGGTTCTGCTGTCCCTGCCTAGGAGCCCACAAAAAAACCCAAAACAACAACAAAAACGGGCTTTTTGGGTGGTCAAAGCCACGATTCCGGTTTCGGCCAGGGCCAGGGCCCCAGACACTGTTTTGCAGCCAGAAAGAACCCCTCCCGTCGCGGCGGGAGACAGGCGCTCTGCGCGAGGGACCCTGCGCTCCCCCCACAGGGTCTTAGTGAGGTCCCGCTGCCCCCTCTGCGCAGGCGAGTCCCACGGCCTCAATGACAGGGAAGCGGGGTGACCTGCCCCACGTCTTACGACTAGTAAGGAACCGGACAGAATTCGAACTCAGGAGTGCCAAGAGAGACCCCCCACCCCAGGCCCAAGTTCTGCTCAGTTCCAGGTGCGGGCTCAAGAGAACGCAGCGAACAGTTGCCCGGCCTGCGGCCCCTCTCCGTGCCTTCACCCTCGGAGACCGCAGGACCCGCTGTGCTCGTCCTTTCCCGGGCCCTGGACCCCCCACCAGAGGTGTGGGAGAAACGGCAGCCGGAGGCGGGAGAGCGAAGTCATCCGCGCTGAGGGCGCGGCCCGAAACCCAGTGTCGCCAGGCTTCCTGTCTGCACAACCTCCTGGTCGGGTGCTTCTGAGCCTGGGGACAAGCGCACGGAGAGTGGGGTCCATCGCCCAACTGTGTACCACCCTATTTTTGAGCGCCTACTGTGTACCACCCTATTTTTGAGCTTCTATTTTTGAGCGCCTACTGTGTACCACCCTTCCGTCAAAAGCTTGGTGTGTGCTATGTTGCTTGGTAAGCGGTTGGCCAAGGCTCGGCGACACTGGTTTACCCGGGTCACAAGGTTGTTGGGCCTGGAGGAAGATGGGAACCCAGATCCGACTCCTGCTCCTAGATTTTTCTTCCTTCTCACCTTCGGTCCTGGGAGGGTAGGATCTGCCCTAGGGTCTGTCGGTCGGTTTGAGCCCATCCATTTCGCCGATCTCTCACGGAAACGTGAGAAAACGGGGCCATTCGTTCCTTCACTCCTTGTCCTTTCCTGTGGAGCACTAGCGAGTGCCAGGCCCTGAGCACCCGGGGGAGATGAGCCCGCTGTGATGGGTGGGCCCTAACAGAGCTGGTTAGGAACAGAAAACACAGCCACCCACCTCACAGAGCGGGGCTGCGGTGGGAATGCG